TATGTGATGTTTTCTCGCACATGTCTATATAGTTTGACCAGAACTCTGTTTCACACTCTACACATAGACGAAAGTGTTTAATACATTTTCTTTAAATGTATTCAAACCAAACGTCAAAACGACATCGGTTCTAAAAAAAACCTAGTGCATGGTCTTTAGATGTTCAGCAGTCAATGTCAATATGGGATTTTCCAACCTAACAATCATTTAAAAAAAAAACTAATTGACTTATCTTAATAAGTGCTGTACTAACATATTGTCCGGCGACGCTGCAAACGTAAATAACACGAGCTAGAGTTTATGTGGAAAAATTCAATTTATAGCACAATGAGCTAACTACATCAGGTCATAACGGAAGTCTTCGTTGAGTTCAATAAAATTTCCTAAAATGGCACTGAAAAAAACCCACGTTATTTCTTTCTTGCCCTTCCAGGTTTATACTTTAGTTTACACCGGTATGCTATTTTTGGAGAATTTGTACGGTTTTTATTTGAATTAATTTTAAATAAAAAAAGTATATTTAGTCAATAGATTAAAAAATAATAATAGGAACAAAACGCTTGTAAATCGTTTTCTTTCCGGTTATTTTGAGGGATAAATGATCTTTCATACTTGCGTTACCATTTTTTAAGCGTACATTTTAAGTTTCCAACGTTATGTATTCATTTGTATGTCCATATATAATAATAATATAATATACTGGTAACGTGTTTTTCAACAAACAATCGACATTCCCATGGGAAACCAACTGTACCCCTCTTCTTGCCGACTTGTTCCTTTATTGATATGAGGCTGACTTCAAACAGGAGCAAGCATTATCCTTGTTGTTTTTCTTTTTGTCGTTTTCTTTTTCTTTTTTTTTGCCATGGCGTTGTCAGTTTATTTTCGACTTATGAGTTTGAATGTCTCTTTGGTATCTTTCGCTTCTCTTTTAAAACGATCATTCTGTGATCGATATAACAATTTGATTTTTTACAAATTAATGCGTTTTTCAAATATTAGTACTCAACTTTTTTTTGCAACAAACACAACAATATTCTATTTCAAAATAATTTGAGTTCTTGTAAAAACTATCCGAGTGCTATTCATCTGTTGAATTGAACATGAATGTCTGTTATAAACACAGGTCTTAAATGTCAAGTTATATTCAGGTTTCAATAATATCGCTCAAAGGAGTGAATATGACTATATTAAATTCATGGTGAGATCATTTATATACTTGATCAGGAATTGCCAGACCTTTACTTAACTGTTCGCACGTAAATAGTGATTATTTTTATTTTAATAAAATAAGTGTGGCCATTCGCGTTTTCGCCTTTGCTATTTTATAAAGCGAAGCCGTGAAAACGCTACTTGGCCAAAACATAAAATTGGCCTCACCCAGCCACCATAATTTTACACATTTTCGACATTTCACATTTTCTACGTTTTAGTTTTTCGCTTCATGTAATATCAAACCTCACCGATCGACCAAACAAAATGTATTGGAATTTGAATATAATTGTCACTTTAGAATTAAATAACTCTTAGGTTTAGACTTAACTGAATAAAATAAAGCATTTATTAATAAAAAGTTCGAATAATCTTGAACCATTTTCATTTCATATTTTACAAGAGTTACAATTATATTTTTGAAAATGGTGTTAAAATGTGAACTTAAATAAAACAAAACTTTAATTTTTCAACACACCAGGAAAACATATTGATTGCTCGTTGTACTTGTTAACAGGGAAGAAATTGAATGTGTAAAGTATTATAAATAAATATCTATTTATTACATTGTTAAAATGTTTACACGGTGTAAAGATGAGTTATAATAAAATCGATGAAAGGTTGTTTTGAATTACAACAATACCATTATCGAATCAATCCTCTGATCAAATCCTTGGATGCACCTTTATGCATGACCATACAATTCCATACAATTAAACCTATTTAGTATTTTAAAATGTATGGTAGTGAAATATTGATTGTTTTCAATTGCTTCCGTTGCATGCAAGACATGCAAAGAATGAATACATGTTTGAATAAGAAGCTGCGCCAAGAGCGTATGATACGTCCTTATGATCAATATTAAAATTGTTGAAATAATAAAATGGGATATTTGGAAGAGATTTAATCGGAAGCAAATTAAATGGCTCTGTAGAAAAACATGTATAGGGACACCATTAGGCGAATAAATATTGTGTCAAAAGTCTCGTAACTCTGGAATAATGGGCGCATTACATTGCGCGCATTTGTGGATTAATTAAAAAATATTAACGTTTGCGCGCAGCTTTTTATAACATTTTCGTGCATTCACTTTATAGGTAATACAGGTAAATATAACGACAATTCATAATAAATATGTCGATAGTTTATTTATGATAGTGTTATAAATCAATTTGTTAATGTTAATTTTGAACATATTTATCATTCTAAGTTATATAACAGTTGAATATATGCCTCAACATTTCTATATGTTAAATATATATACATATCTGGGGTTTTGCTTTTTCTTTTGTTTATTTTTTTTCTATTCTATATTTTGTCATTATATATCATTAAAAATTAATAATAATCATTGTAATAAATTATTTGTAATTGTACTGCTCTCTTAGGGCGTCCTTGATTGACAATAAAAAATATTGTATTGTATTGTATTGTATTTTTTATATGGAATTTAAAAAAAAAAAATCAGTGACCCTTAGAAATCCCGTAATCACTTAAAGCATACTGGTAACTTAATTGCGAATATTGCAGAGAGGATTGTGTTCTGTTTCCAAACTAAGAGAGCACACACAGTAACTGTTCAAAGTAGAAGTAAGAAAGAGATAACAGAGGATCTGATGGAACAATCCCGAAAATATCAGAATGAAGAAGTTGACAGAATTCATTTTCTTAAGGCGGTGGGCTTCAAATATTTAGCACGTATTTACATGTAAAATCGAAACTTTTACTCTTCAGATTTTTACTTTTTTTTGTATATATTCTCAGTCTTAGTGCTTGTGTATAATAAACCAGACTTATTCTACTCGAAACCCCACGTTCACTCCCTCGCTGGTGAATGGGAGAATTTGACCAACGGAAGGGGTACTTGTAGTAGTTGTAATAACTTAAATAAATACATTAAATGGAATAACTTACCCGTGTTTACCTGAAAAAATAACTGCGCGCAAATGTATTCAAAAGCTGCGAGCAAACGTATTTGGTTTTGACGTGCAAATGTAATAGTAATGCGCGCAATTGTAATAAACCACCATATTTTCAAAATCAACAGCAGGTCTATACGTTCACTTGCAAAACTACAAATATTGTGTAACTCCTACAGTGTAAATGTGGTAAACAGTATGTTGGTGAATCAGAAAAAAACTTGGCCATTTCACAAACGTATGAACGGCCATTGTAGTGACTATGAATGCAAGCCAGACCTTCCTCTCAGTCGACATTTGAGATCCTTCTGGCCACACAAAGGCAGATCTCAATCGACTGACTATTACCATCCTTGACCACAACACTGCTAGGTCTAGGGAGGAGAAAATCACTTGGAAAAGTTTTCGGAAAAGAAAATTTAAAAAGGTTGGCACTAAATGGGATCAATGAAAAGGTGTAGTTCTAATCGCACAGTGCTATCCATTTGGGTTGTATAACTAAGCAGTCTCTGGTGTTACTCCTCTATCTCGTCAACTCTGAAATTCTAGTTTTATATCTGTTCAAATCGCACAGTTCTATCCATTTGGGATGTATAAATACGCAGCCTCTGTTGTAATTTCTTAACCTTCGTCAACATTGAAATTTAGAAAACATACCTGGTCCAGTTTAAATTGCACAGCGCTATTCATTTGAGGTGTATAAATACGCAGTCTCTGTTGTAATTAATCAACCTTCGTCAACTTTGAAAATTTAGAATTATACCAGTCCAAATCGAAAAGTGATATTTATTTGGGATGTATAAATACGCAGCCTCTGTTGTAATCACATAACCTTCGTCAACTTTAAAATTCTAGAAGTATATCAGTTCAAATCAAACAGTGCTATTCATTGTGGATGTATATCTACGTAGTCTCTGTTGTAATAACTTAACTTTCGTCCCCTGTGAAATTTTAGAATTGTACCAGCTGATATCGCTCATTACTATTCGTTTGGGATGCATATCTATGCAGTCTCTAATGTAAATACTTTACCTGCGTCAACTTTGAAATTTTAGAATTATACAAGCGTGGTTCGGTTTTTAATTTGTATTACTTTCAAGATTGTTTTTAGTAATATCATAATAATTTGATAAGATTCATTTTACATTATACCGATGAAGGATATATGATATCCGAAATATTTATTGATACTTGTATTTACTGTTTCTTTTTTTTTTTAATATTGGTGATGTTTTGTACACCTTTTAGGTGTATGTATAATTTTTCTATTGTGTATACAGTGTCGTTTTGTATTTCATAACGATCCAGCGCTCTCGTAAGAAATTCATTGACTAATATCTCTACAGAGACTTTATTTTTATATAGCCTATTTGGTCTAGTGGTCTAAGGCGCTTGGCACATTGCAGGCGGTGTTGCGACTAACGCAAATTTGCAAATCTAACATTGTTGGGCTAACTTTTGTGACGACGAAGTATAAATATGTATTTCTTTTGTTTTACAGCATCACAATTCTGTACAGATTGTTCTGAGCATTGCACATAATCATGTCTTTCTTTACTGTTATCATGGTTATGGCGTTGCTGAATGAAACCTCCCATGAAGTACAGCAACCGATGTTACCACCTGGGGTTTGGGGAGGAGTGTGAATTAACTTTCGCGCACCTCAACTGAAATCTTGTGATAATGGTAACTGTTTTTGTAGGAAATGTAACTGTTTAAAGATACGCCTACCGTTATCAAGTGTCAAATGTTTCATGCATATTCAAAATAGGTATAGGTTTCTCCGAACTGATCGTTACAAAAATGTATACGTTAAAAGTAATAGTACAGACAGCTAATGAAACACAGAAATGCTGAAACAGTTTAAGGTATGTTTGTTTGTTCAAATTTTAATCAACAACTATATTTGATATACACAGTCAACATAGATTAGGAGATGAAATAACTCATGTTTCAATATGAAATGTATTATTCCGGCTTTGCTTAATTATGTTTTCCAATATGCCAGTACAGAATCTTTTCAACCAGTGCTTGAATTCCTTTCATTATCTGCATCTATCGCTACCCTAGGCTTTATTTTCATTTCAACACGTTTCAAAGAATATGCAAATCTGCGATTCCAATGGTACCAAATAATGCCACGTACGATTCCATCGGCCGATATTGGAATAGGACCACCATCGACATAAAGTCCATTCAATGCTGAATATCCACAATCTCTATACCACCAACCAGACAGGTCCTTCTGGGCACAGTGAGCAAACCAGTGATCGTTATCCCGATCGTAAGTACTAAACTGCATCCCACTCTGATACGTTAATGAATCACCCGCTGTTCCACCCTCAAACCCCGATAAGGATAAACGATAGAAGTCCGTCTCTGGTGCAACACGAAATGTAGTCCACTGTGAGTAGGCGTCACGTCCATCCCAATCCCACATATCTATACGCAGTGTATAATTAGATGTGTATGTTAGCTGATGGATTATTTCATTGCCTAGCCAGTATTCTCCGTTAGCGTTTCCAAATCCACCCGCATAGAGATTCCATGTTCGAGTAAAGTTGGTACTTCCGTCCATACGGCGCTGAATAACGGTCCATCCACCCTTTGCCGTTTCTAAATCACAATACAAGTTTAAAATGCGGTCATCTTGGAGTTTGATAGGATATACTCCGCTTCTTGTTATTCCATTTAAAGACAGTTCACTACAGTCTGTAAACATAATATATGACATTAGACATATAAATAACACATAGTTGAGAGGGTGATAGAGCAGATTGTTACCCCGAGAAAACATTGTCAACTGAGACTGATAGACTATCACAGTTGCAAAGAAAATGTGCTTCGTCTTCGACCTCATTACTACAACATCTTTTACATATGTGTTTATTAATTTATTTAGTATATCAATTTTCTCTTTACATTTTATCTAGCATTTCTCTAGGGTTTATTGCGTTATCATATTCCGCTACACAGTTGTTTTAATATATTACACTATGACAATTTCGGAGTGGTCACTAAATCGGTATCAGAATGGCTGACTGAATGCTCTTGTGGTACACACTAAGAAGATTATTGACAGACTATACAGACTATGTCTATGTATTTAAGTCGAGTTTTACTGAACAGTTTTGAGACTTAATGTGTATGTTATTATCATTATAATAATGGATTTATAGAAATAAAAAATAAGTGCATTTTCAATCTTCTTTTACTAGATATGCATTTATATAATTGTCGAATATTGTCATACGTATATCGACTCTTATATCCTCGTGTCCAATTTTCCATGGAAGTGGGTTAATTAGCCATCCTTTCTTTAGGTATTGTGTTTTCTTTGTTTAAATGTTACTGTGTTTCATTCTTGTTTGTAAAATGTATATTTCAATGTCAGCTTCGTTTTTCTCTTCTCGTAGGTGAAAAGCAGAAACTAACAAATAAATAACACCGAAGATTTAACAATATAAAAAGTTAAAATTAACTTGCAATTCGCATACCTCTTACAAGAGGAACATCACTCAAGGATGACGTGTATTCTTTCTTTTGACGCAGTTTTAATGGTCTAGTCTTTTTTTCTTTCTTCATTATACGTTTTCTCAAGTCGTCTATTCTCCTTTAAAAGAAAATAAACGGGATAATAAACGAGCATTATGGAAATTTAGATAGCATTCATAGCAAATCATCAAGGAACCACACAAATAGAAAGATTTTAAGACACGACATAGACAGATTTCCTTTGAAAAGTAGCAATGTTGTTGCATGAGGAGTCCCTTGAAACGTTATAAAACGATAATGACTGAAAACATTTTATATCTATACTGATCATGACATGTAACTCTCGGCTTTGTACTAAGTTGGACAATCATGGTAATCATTGTGAATGAAACGGACTTGTCCATGCAAAAGAATAGGAAAAAATAAAATAACAAAAATACCGAACTACAAGGGAAATTCAAAACGGGAAGTCCTTTATAAAATGGCAAAATCAAAAGCTGAAACACATCAAACGAATGGAAAACAACTGTCATATCATGACTTGGTACAGGCATTTCCTTATGTAGAAAACGGTGGGTTAAACCTGGTTTTACAGCTAACAAAAGACAGTCGCATAAAATTCCATTATATTGACAACAATGTGTGAGCAAAACAAACAGACATAATAGGTAAAAATGTCAAAAATTGGATTGGATTGGATACAGCAGTCAACATTGTAATATAATCTTAATCACTATAAAAACAAATAACTATTTCAAAAAAGAAAAACAAAATGACATATAGACACTCTATAGACAAAGTACATAAGCAAAAATGAAAGACAAGAATACAAAATTGACCACGATAGCACAATAACACAATGGCGGGATGTATAAGTACCGAGCCACGTCAAAAGTATATTATCAAAAATGGACTAAACAGTAACATTTAAAATTTACGAGGACAAATAAAAAGAACACTATTAAACGTAATTAAGATGATAAACAACGTCAGTACCTAGAATCTATACTTCAAGACCATCATGTATTATTTGTGAAGATGATACGGAATATTTATCAACGAGGTCTCGGTATCTTCCAATGAACATTTTTTAGAAAAAAGGACGAAACGTTCTTTGACATAACCTTGGCTCATCAACTTTCTGCTTGAGACACTGGTGACGTTTTATAAAGTCTGAGTAGCAGCTGCAAGCTCTTGAATACCGAATGAGTTGGGAAATGTATATCTCATATGCAGGTAAAGTTGGTATATTGCTGCTAAGGTGGGGGAAATTTATAATTTCAAAATCAAAATCGTCTCGTTTGTGATAGATTCTGGTACTGAATGACCGCGTATGTCTAATTCGAGGTATAAGTCTAAATTAAAGTTCAATTTGAACAACTAATTTGAAAAGAAGGCGGAAAAAAGTTTGAAAATGAGCAAATGTGGCTGCAGAAATCTGGATTACCATAACCTATTCAAACCGGTGCTAGATGCAGGGCTTTTCTCCTTGCATGGAGGTCTCATTGTGACATTATGTTTAAAGCGCTGTTTCTATGCTCTTGGTTTTGTCACATGTGTGTGGGGCTTTTTAATCATGAATCAATAAACCCTATTTCTTCTTTTCAATTAATGAGAGATAAATGTAACCTTGTTTTGTACTCGCTGATATTTTGAATGTGCTAACCCACACGGTACAACAGTCCTTAGGATGACATGTCGCCTTCTCAATATGAAAATAAGGAGATGTGGTATGATTTCCAGTGAGACAACTGTCCTCCAGAGTTCAAATGAAGTGGATGTAAGCAATTATATGCAAACGAACGTACGGCCTTCAACAATTAGTTAAACCCATACCGTATATAGTTGGCTATAAAAGGCCCCGACATGAAAAATGTGAACCAATTCAAAGGAGAAAACTAACGGCCTAATTTTAAACAAAACAATTTACGAAAAACAAAATTGACAGACATGAAACAAACACAATTTGCTGAGTCTATCTTTGCTCTTACTCTTTAATGCCACGTGTTTGTCGGAAAAGCAGCAAATACCCTTTTCAGTCAAGTCGCCACTTTTTTATTCATACTGCCCCGATTTAGATCTAACCTCTCGAAGTAGTCAAGATAAGAACATTCCGAGATATTGTTTGATAGTACACCTCAGACCAACCTAATGGTAGCAGTGTCATAGATTATTTTATTGTATCTGAATATTTAGTCAGATATGTTTCTTTTTTCACTACATAATTTTATCAGAACCATGTCTGACCATTGTCAAATATCTATGATGTTAAATGTGAAATAATCTGTCAAATTTGATTGTGACCATGGTGGCTGTCCTCTTGAATCTCTTCAACCCTCGTACATACAGACAGATAAACCTTGTGATGAATTCCAAAATGTGTTGTCTTCATTAGAAATACAGAACGATTTCATGAAATTACATGTTGATCAAACAGAATCCGGAATTAATGTTCTAATTAATAACTTTAATCACGTAATTTATGATGTAACAATCAAAAGTCTGAGAAAGAAACATCATAGTTTGAAAAAATCTAACAATAAAAAGAAAAAAACCTAATTGGGAAACCAACTTATTGAAAGAGAAAATTTATTAAAAAATCAATAAAGATCAATATAGATCATCTTATTTCAGTGCTTTAAAGCGTTATAAAAAAACTAGGAAAACCACGATACGACTCCATAGGCATATTCCATATTGGAAACTTTTGAATAAATCTTTAGGTGATGGTGGAGATTCTAGAGTACAGTCACAGAACAATATTTTCAGCAAAGAATGGTTGAACTATTTTAGGGATTTAAATACCGTTAAAAACATAAATAACCAGGATCTAGATAAATTACTAGCTAAATCAGAGAAATGTAAACATTTTAATGAGCTAGATTTTTAAATTTCTAAAAAAGAGCTTCTTGCTGCACTAAAATCTCTGAAAAATAAAAAAATAAAAAAGCCTGCGGAATTGACCAAAATATCAAATGAGATTTTAAAATATAGTTTTCTACATTTCTCCCAACCCTTTTTGAAATTATTCAATAATGTCCTTACTTGTTGAATTTTCCCTAAGCTTTGGTGTAAATGTTTTTTTAACTCCTATGCATAAGTCAGGTGACACCAAAGAACCTAGTATAATTACAGGGGAATTGCTATAAGTAGTAATGCTGGTAAGTTGTTTACTAGAATAATAAATAACAGACTTGAAGAATATTTAGAAAAACACGGCATTTTTTCCCAAAAACAAACTGGTTTCTCTAAAGGTAAAATTACAAGTGATCTTCTTTTTGTCTTGAAAACTCTAACAGACAAACATCTACAAAAAGGCTCGAAACCATTATATACATTTTTTTTTTATTTTAGAAGAGCTTTTGGTACTGTTAATCATACTGTTCTAGTAAAACTGGAGTAGGAACCCATTTCTATAATATAATCAAAAGCATGTATTCTAATAACATACTATGTTTAAAAACACGAAACATGTCGACAGCTGACTTTTGATCATTTACTGGAATAAGACAAGGAGATAACCTGAGCCTAGTCTCTTAAAAATATTTATAAATGATTTCAAATCCTTATTAGATGAAAACTGTGACCCAGTATTCCTATCAAATATTTCATTAAATTTTGATTGACCGTTACAGGAAATATGTGTCATAGATTACCACGGATATATATTTCATTTATGGTAGCCACAGTCCCGTGCTGTTTTCATCGATTGTGCGAGCATCACCGAATGCGACTTGTCACCAATTTTTTTTCTTGTCATTAAAAGCACGACGGTCGTCAGTATGCGGTAGGAACTGCATTCTTACACTTCCGGAGCAAGCTCGTTCACCCCGGTTTTGATGGGATTCCTGTTGCTCAATCATTAGTTTTATGTGCAGTATTTTGTGGGCTATACATAGTTTGACATTTCGTCGTTTTTCTGTAGGTTTTATCCGACTCATAGTATTTTTACCCCGTCTCCCCTTTTGCGAGATTTAAATCAGCGATTGGAAAAGGAATTCAGTGAAAATATACACGATAAACAAAATAACTTTTGTAAACATTTGATATTTTAACAAACAAAAAATAAAATGCTCCGCTGGGCGCAGCTTGATACGACCGCAGAGGTCGAACCCTGAACAGTTGGGGCAAGTATGGACACAACATTCAAGCTTGATACAGCACTGAATTTGGATTGTGATTAAATATTTGACACAGCATAGGTTTCTGACACAGAATGAATGTGGTCTAAGAACTTAAAAAAAATTTAATTTACCTATTCAAACCATATCATTATTATTTGCTTTTATATATAAATCAGAAATAACCAATTTAAAATGGAAAATTTTAAAGAAAAAAAAAGGAAAAAAACGAAAAAAAATCCCTCCCCCAAATTTTTTGAACCCCCTTATGATTCATCACCCCCAAACTCAATCCCAGCTTTCTCTTTGTGGTATGATACCTTGCAGTACAATTTCAGAGAGATCCATACACTTGAACACAAGTTATTGTCTGGAAACTAGAAAAATGTTTGTTTTTAGGCCCCTTTTTGGCCCCAAATTCCAAAACGTTTAGGGCAATTACCCCCAAACTCAATCCCAGCTTTCCCTTTGTGGTATGATACCTTGCAGTACAATTTCAGAGAGATCCATACACTTGAACACAAGTTATTGTCTGGAAACTAGAAAAATGTTTGTTTTTAGGCCCCTTTTTGGCCCCAAATTCCAAAACGTTTAGGGCAATTACCCCCAAACTCAAACCAAGCTTTCCCTTTGTGATATGGAACCTTGTAGAACAATTTCATAAAGATCCATACACTTGCACACAAGTTATTGTCCTGAAACTAGAAAAATGCTTGTTTTCGGCCCCTAATTCCTAAAATTTTGAGGCAATTACCCCCCAAATCAATCCAGCCTTCCCTTTGTGGTATGGTACCTTGCAGTACATTTTCAGAGAGATCCATACACTTGAACACAAGTTATTGTCTGGAAACTAGAAAAATGCTTGTTTTTAGGCCCCTTTTTGGCCCCAAATTCTAAAACGTTTTGTGCAATTACCCCCAAACTCAAACCAAGCTTTCCCTTTGTGATATGGAACCTTGTAGTACAATTTCTCAAAGATCCATACACTTACACACAAGTTATTGTCCTGAAACTAGAAAAATGCTTGTTTTTTGCCCCTTTTTGGACCCTTATTCCTAAAATTTTGAGGCAATTACCCCCAAAATCAATCCCAGCCTTTCCTTTGTGGTATGGTTCCTTGCAGTACAATTTCAGAAAGATCCATACACTTGAACACAAGTTATTGTCTGGAAACATAAAAAAAGCTTATTTTTGGCCCCTTATTCCTAAACATTTTGGGCAATTACCCCCAAACTCAATTCCAGCTTTCCCTTTGTAATATGGAACCTTGTAGTACAATTTCAGAAAGATCCATACACTTACACACAAGTTATTGTCATGAAACTAGAAAAATGCTTGTTTTTTGCCCCTTTTTTTGCCCCCTAATTCCTAAAATTTTGAGGCAATTACCCCCAAAAGCAATCCCAGCATTCCCTTGTGATATGGAACCTTGTGGTATAATGTCAGAGAGATCCATACACTAACACACAAGTTATGTCTGGAAGTTACAAAAATGCTTATTTTTGGCCCCTTTTTGGCCCCTTATTCCTTAACTGTTGGTACCATAACCCCCCAAATCAATCCCAACCTTCCTTTTGTGGTATTGAACCTTATGATAAAATTTCATAAAGATCCATTCACTTAAACTAAAGTTAGAGTGTGAAAACCAATGTGTCTTCGGACGACGACGACGCCGGACGACGACGACGACTCCAACGTCATACCAATATACGACCGCAAAATGTTTTTGCGGTCGTATAATGACAAGGGAAAGTAAGAAGCTGGATCAATCATTAGGTATCGACATCATCCCCAGTGAAATGTTCGACTGTGGCCTACATGACTTATCCTCTTCCCGGGATAATATGTACAAAATCCACAAGTCTTCTTTTGATTTGTCTGTTTATCAACTGATCAGTTTCCTTACAGACTTTTTATGTAATACGTGTTTTTTTTCTTCTAAATTTCGTTATGTGAAGTAATTATCATCTTCAAACTTAAATGGTACTGTTATGAAATCAGCTATGTTGGAAAAGTACGTACCCAATCAAATCGGTGAGAAGAGCTTCTCTGGAAGTTTTATCAGCATCCATATTTGTCTGTAGTTTTTCTAGAACCATACACTGATGTTCATTTTGAAGTTCAAGAGATAGGGATCTGTACTGTGGTGTATGACATATGCTGTTCGAAGAATGTTGTCCGCTCGATTGAGATGTTCCCAATGAAAAACAGCTCACTGTAATCAACACAATTAGTTCTATCTGTAAAAAATACATTTATACTTACTTCATGTAGTCAACAACTGGACTGGTCAACCCAGTGACCTCCATTTGTAGACTGTCGAATTTACAATTTCATAAAAGATGTGTCTAATTCTTTTATTTTCGTTATTGTTGGGTTGCTGTCTCATTGACGTATACCCTATATCTCCTTCTATTCATATTTCTAATGCAGATGAAATTTGCCGAGAAAAAAAACTATTGTAACCACCATGATTATACTTAAAAAAAGGCATTAGCCACGACTTAGACAACAAACCAAATCATAATTTTGTTTTCGTTTCAAAACTTAATAAAAACGAAATGCATGTTGAGATAATAATTTGCTTTAGCAGCCAGTTTGGTTCCATTTTGTGAACACAAGCTCAAAAACAACCAGATATATTGTTGTCTGATAATAAAAACTTATGTGGGTCCTTATGTATGCAATCTTTCATTTGATCCTTAGTTGGATATTGGTTGCGCGTGTGCTTAACATGTTCATTTATAAAAAAAAAAAGTGTCAAAATTCAAAAATAAAATAAGAGAGCTACCAGAAAGAACAATTTCGTTGACTGATAAGGACCACAAAAAATGCTTATACCGGTTAAATGATGATTCAAAATGCTATTATTTTTAATTTACGACAAGAAATTAAACAGACCAGTATAACCTTGTTTATATGAGTAAATTGTTTATTTGAGTAATAGGAACGCATTTTCTCGTTAAAATCCTCATACAGTTCCATATTGAGAAGGACACCCATGTAGTGCCCGATGTAAACAATTGAGCCTCAGTAACTTGAATGTCTGGAGGGGTGAGCATATCCTGCTTCATTGCTACACTAGTCGTATGCAACTGTTTGTTTTGTTTACATTTTTCCCAAATCCAATTACAATCAAATATAGAACAATAAGCAAACCTTTTTACAGTAAAATGAGTTTGAAAGTGAACTTAAAATGAAATAAAAGGTCTTACCATTTTCAATAATTGCAACCACTTCCTCAACAAATGCGTTTTGTTGTGAAACGAATTACTGAGTGTAATAACCTTAACTCTTTTTTTCAAATTATTTGTATGTGTCAATTATATCAACGCAGAAAATTTCAAGCTCGTTATGATAGTGCTGTCTGAACGTAATAAAATATAAGTATTTGGTTTAAATTGAAATTTAAAGTGGGATTGTAACAAAACAGATATTTAATGTACAAAAATAGAATAAAATAACCCTCTTGAACCTCCAAAAACATAAAAGTAATGAACCTTTACGGTCATTTGTAATTGAAATTACACGTGTTTCTAATTAAATATTTCACAAGAAAACCTAAATGATTGAAAATATTGGCTGCTTTTCATTTTCTTACAACCACACAATAACAATTCATCAAACAAGAGTACAATCGTCTGCTTCTAATACACAATGAATAACGATCACGTAGCAAAACAAACTTATGATTTGTGCTAGGTTTATGTAAAAAACAGTGCACATGCTGAAATATTTCATATGTCTTATTGGTTATGATGTAATATCATATGGTTTACAAGGCAGCTATTGATATATATATATATATAAAGGGACAGCATATACAAACTACTGTTGTTTTAATATCGAAGGTTAAAACCAAAACACATTAAATAAGTGAAACTAGTTTAAAAAAATAAATAATATTTACTAAAAATTAACACTGAGGAGGTCCATGCCACAAGCGCTTGTGATTGATTTTGCTCAATTTTAGCATATATTTGTAAAGTAAAACTAATTCATACAAGCAGCATTTATTCAGGAGTAGCTTTCTAGTTTTTGTTTGCATTTTGTTAGGAAGTAAGCTCATCCTGTATGTGCTCGTCCCAAGTCAGGAGCCTGTTATTAAGTGGTTGTTGTTTGTTGCTGTATATCATATTTGTTTTTCGTTCATTATTTTGTACATAAATCAGGCCGTTAGTTTTCTCGTTTGAATAATTTTACATTTGTCAATTCGGGGACTTTTATAGCTGACTATGCGGTACGGGCTTTGCTCATTGTTGAAAGCCGTACGGTGACCTATAGTTGTTGATTTCTGTATCATTTGGTCTCTTGTGGAGAGTTGTCTCATTGGCAATCATACCACATCTTCTTATTTTTATATCATTTAGTTTATCTTCCCGCCAAAAATCGAAAGAATGTAAGGCATGTAGCTTTTTCAAAATGTAAAACAAAAATTGACTGGACTATTATATTGCCAAAACCGCTTGATGACGTACAAAGGAATGTAAACAAGCTAGTGTATTTGAAGGAGCTTTCTCATCTGCATTGGTTTGATTGTGAAATAATTAGCTGTCGGAAGTTTATTTAAAAGTTTATAGCAAAAACACCATTTTACATGTATTGGTTTAAGTATTCATACTTGTCTGCTAAAATCTCATTTCTCATCGTCATTGAGCGCAGTGAAAATCTGATTCCAAAATATGACCGATTTTTGGTAGTGGCCGATTCTAAGGAATGGGAGGACATAAAAATCTGTAGAATGTAGTTCTAGGTTAGAATAAGATATTTTGAAAAATATAATAATCAATAAAAACAAGTTAATCAATGAAAACTCTAATCAACGGACCAATCAAATGAGACCAACGAGAACTCTGTGATCAACGTAAAAATCAAATGAGACCAACGAGAACTCTGTGATCAACGGAACAATCAAATGAGACAAACGAGAACTCTGTAATCAACGTACCAATCAAATGAGACTAACGACAACTCTGTGATCAACGTACCAACAAACGAGACCAACGAGAACTCTGTCTCAACGTACCAATTAAACGAGCAACGTACCAATCAAATGAGACCAAAGTTCATTGAATCCTGAAAGACCGGCATGTAAAACTGCACTGATTCTATTGACGTTCAAATATAAATAATACAGAAAATGACATAAAAGGGAAAGTTTAGCAATGAATATGATTTCAATTTCGTCCATGAAACTTATTTGTAGATCTTATTGTGATGTACATTTTTGCTTTTTACTGTTTCAATTTCTCTCAAAAATGGGTAGACATGAACTTTAAAGGATAATAACTCCTATAAGGGTCAGTTAACTATTTACGCCACGTTGAAGGATTGAAGAATTTATTTTGCTGATAATTTCAACTATTTTTAAGATTTTTATCCATCTGCTATAGTTTCCGCATTAATGGGTTAAAATTGGCCATCTAAGCAATTATTCTTATAAGGAATCGATTGACGATTTAGGTCATATTGTCTTATTTGTAGATCTTATTGTGCTGGATATTTCCCTTTTATTGTTTCTAATTGTAAATCTTTCATCGATTCTACAAAAACGCAAAAATGGGTAAAAATCGTCTTTCAATCAGAGGCGGATTTTTTTTTTTGGGAAACATTTGATTGATTATATAGGGAATCACTGAAGCATGAATGGAGCGGCCCCATCTTAGGCAGTCAGTGGGCCCCCATTTATGAAAATTTCTGGACCCGCCACTGTCAATGGCAATAACTCCTGTAAGGAGGAGTTGACTGGTTCTTGACTGATTTGTAGATCTTATTTTGCTGATCATTTATCCGATAAAAACATTCTCTCTATCTCTAGTTTCTGCAAAAAAGCAGAAAATGTCAATAACTTCTATCAGGAATCAATTAACGATTTCAGCCATGTTATATGTCGATGATTTTTTTCAATATATTTTACAGTTTATAAAAAATAAAAAACGCAAAAAAAAAAAGAGGAAAAACGTCTTTCAATGGCAATAACCCTTACAATTGGTCAATTTACGATTTCGGCCATGATTACTTATTATAAGATCTTATTGTGCTGAGCAATTTTGCTGTTTACTGTTTCTCTCTTTTTATCAAAGTTTCTGGAAAAAAAAGAAAAAAATAATAAACAGACCTTACAATGGCCATAACTCTTATAAGGGGTCGTTTGACAATTTCGGTCATAATAAAAATAAAAAGATGTGGTATGATTGCCAATGAGACAACTCTGCGCCAGAGACCAAATAATGTAGAAGTTAACAACTATATGTCACCGTCCGTCCTTTAACAGCCTTCAACAGTGAGCAAAACCCAAACCGCATAGTACGTTATAAAAGGCCCCGAAATGACTAATGTACAACAATTCAAGCAAGAAAACTAACACCCTGATTTGTGTTCAAAACAGTAGCAGTACAACATAACAACAAATGCTAATTAATGTGTAGATCTTATTCTGTTAAACATTTTTGCAGTTTACAGTTTCTGCAAAAAAGCAAAATGTAGTAAAAATCGTCTTTCAAGGGCATTTTTCATATTAGGGGTCAGTTAACGATTTGGCAGTCATGACTTATCAGAAGATCTTCTTGTCCTCTATATATAATTTTAGTTTTCTAGATAATCACCAAAAACATAAATTTCCCAAAAAATAGACATTTTCAGGTGCAATAACTCGAAAACGGGTTGTTTGATTTTTTCTGAATAGATAGACATTGACCTGTTGATCGTTTTACCCTATAGTCTTGCTCTAAATGCTTGAGTTGTTTGAAAATAAGCCAAATACTGGACTTTACTCGTATGTTCTAAGCAATGCATTTTGACGGACCAAATCCCAAGATACATTTTTAAACTGTATTCAACAGTGAAGTAAAGTTTGGTAATATTTAAAGTTTAAGTTTCAGAGGAGAAGATTGTTTAAAAAGTTTACGTCGACAAGCGATGGACGCCAATAGACGGCAATAGCTCACACGGCCCTTACATCAATGATACAGCAACCTAACCACATAAATAACCAAAAGACATCTATAGAGGTCAACATACATACATAATTTTTGTCGTTGAGTTTCTATGTCTCATTGAAGGATATTCCACATCTTCATTTGTTCATAAGTATCACACAAACTTATGAATCAGACTGACAGCACAGGCACTTGGTTCTATCCATTGGGAGGTCGACTATCATATATAATAGAATAGAATATTATATCATATATGGATAGCCGACCTGCCAATAGATAGAAACAAGTGCATGTGACTGAAAGACTGTTGGTTGAAAATTATAAATAGCAAATATTAATTTATTGCAATGCTTGTTTCATACAAACATTTTTCTGGTCATTGGACAATGAAAATGAGCTCAATATCATAAGTAACTTTCCTGACGGGTATGTACACCTTAGGGGAATTTTAAATAACAAATATATTTGACCTTCCTTGAATGCAGAATAGACAGCAAAACGAGTCGGAAAAAAACCCACAAGTCTCAAAAAAAAGTACCCAATGAAGAAATGCAAAGCGTTATTAGTAGTGGGTGCTGACAGTGCTGACAAGGAGGAAGACAAAGAAAACGGAAGATTATCATATACAGTGGGAAACATGATTTATTTATTAGTAAGTTGTATCTTTGGTGAGTTTTTTTTTGTGCTTTCAACTTATTTTTACACCTTTTCTTATGTTGTCATGTTAAATTGTCAAAGATTAGGAGATTGAGCACTCGCAAACATGTGTAACCCGAAACATATTATATACATCATACGATGTTGAAGCGTGTATGTTGAACGCATTACATTTGCGTGCTTTAGGGGATCAATTTTTTGTACGTTTTCGCGCAGCTTTTTATTACATTTGCGCCCACACCGAACAGCAAGCTATAAAGGGCCCCCAAAATTACTAGTGTAAAACCATTCAAACGGGAAAACCAACGGTCTAATCTATATAAAAAACGAGAAACGAGAAACACTTATGAATCAACAAACGACAACTACTGAACATCAGATTCCTGACTTAGGACAGGTGCAAACAATTGCAGCGGGTTTAAACGTTTTAATGGTACCAAACCTTCACCCTTATCTGAAACAATAAGGCATACATGTTACTTAATTGCGAATATTGCAAGTGAAATGCATTTTGTTTCAAATCTAAGAAGGCTTGATACACCAGCACTTGTACGTAGAAGTAAGAAAGAGAACATAGTATCCGATGGCACAATTCTGAAAATATCAGAATGGAGAAACTGACAAAATTAATTTTCTTAATTTTCTTAAAGGGACATTAGCTGTCAAATTCATGCTCACCGATTTGACTCAAATTTGATTTATAACATACTATTACTTTAAATGTTGACATTCTTTTCCTTTTAATAGCTGAACAGGCATAAAACATGCGTACCAATCTCTAGCTA